TTGTGGTTTAGAGTTTTGGGTTTAGGGATTAGGGTTTAGGGTTTAGGGGTTTAGGGTTGAGCTGCCTACAGGCAGGGAGCCGAACAGCTCTTTCTCAGGGGATGAAGGACCTGGGACTCCCTCCCTCCCCCGAGGGTTTAACATGTGTAAACCTGGCAAGACCTCGACTGTAGGGCACTGTGGGGTCGGAATCCTTATGGTAGTAATCGCACCCCCTAGAAGACGTTAACACGATTGAGGAAAAGTATACCACGAAACCCTATTCCCGCTCAAGCGCGGAGGTGCGTAACCCCTGGGGCGAGTGGACACGCCGCGAGCAGGATGAGCTGCTAGCGCAGCTGGGCGCTGCGGTCGTGCCAGATGAGGGCAGCTTTTGGATGAGCCTTGGGTTTATGTTGTTTTTTCCGTTTGCGGTGCGAGGAGGGGGGCGGGCGGGAATTGGGTTGATCCTGATTCTAGGTTTCTGTGCAGTTTCTGTAGTTGAGGGCCAACCTGACCACGGGTGTACTTTTCTTCATTGGTTGATTCAAAGCTGGTCCGGGGTCTTGTAAAAAAACGGGGGGTTATAGAGTGTCTTGGTCGTGGCTGCTTAATCAACCCCTGCCCTTCCAGCGGAGCTTTTTCGAGGTCCTTTGAAGAGAGTGGTTCCTTAACTGCTTTGGGGGGCTTTCAGTAGAAGCTCAAGTATTTATGAGCCATGAAACCGTCGCAAACGTTAGACCGTGATCAGCACTGCTAAACACTGCATTAAAACTGAACCCCATACCCTCAACTTTAGGCCCTAAACCCTAAATGAACCTCGAAGCATCAGCCCTGAAGGAACTACGGGGACTTCATTCGAGGCTTTGCCGTCGCCGACATCTGCTATGCCAGAGATGGCTGGCACCTTAGTTGGTGGTTTCTTTTCAAAGGCTCATAAGAAAACATGAGGGTGACCAGAAGACACTAACGTTTCTTTGCCCCAAAAAGTAAGGCATGATTCACTCTCCTTAGGTTGGCTGTGCTTAGTTTGGATTGGGTTGGGTTCTTGGCACTTGACTCAAATGGTCTATACTCACACAAGGTTTTCTGCGAGACAGTTCTTTTGTTAGCTGGTTTTCAGGGTTGTCTTGGTCGGCTTTGCTCTTTTTTGCCGTGTTATCTTGACATCTAGTCTTGCACGGAGTCTTCTGTTGCAGAGGATTTTCGTGTTAACGACATACCCGGTTCCGCCTTTTAAGCAGCCTGTGGGCAGCGTTTGAAGGCGTCTGAGCCCCCCACGTCTTCGCAAAGCCTCCGCAGGAACACTGTTGCTACTATTCTTACTCATATTTCTAGTCGTACTGTTATTGGCATTCTTTATATGTGTGATATGAGACATATCGACCCTGATCTTCTTCTCGTGGTTTTTTAATGGCCAGGCTGGCATGCCCGCAGCTTCGACGCCGAGTTCGGAGGGTCCGTCGGCTGCCGCAGCGCGCTGCAGCTCCGGGGCAGCGGGGAGTGTCTTGGCTCTTGCTCGTGAATTTCGTTTAAGAGAATAAGGAATGGATTTTGTGTTCCTTTATTATTTATATGTTATGGTAAATTCTTGCAAGAGCTGAGGTGTTGGGTCATGGCGATCCAGCCCACAGATCGAGGAAAGCAGGTAAAGAGACCGCCCGGCTACTACTTGAACGACCTCTCCTTGCTGATCTTCCAGGAGACCCAGGATGAACCAAGTTTGGTGACAGCCGCGATTGGGGGGGCTCGTCGTGATGTGGTGAGCTCTGTAGTGCTGGAGGCAGGCAAGACCTACAGAGTGGTTCCCCTGAGCTTCCGTGGAAGCTCCAGTCGGGGTTCTTTTGTCTTGCGGCTCTACAGCGCTTCGCCGGTGCAAGTGCGTGAAGAGTCGCCCTCGCCGGAGCGCACCTGGGCGGCTTTCCACCGGCTGCTTTTGTCCCCGGAGCCCCCACCCAGAACCCTACGCCGGGCGCAGGATTTCGAGGTGGGTCGGCTCGTGGTTTTGGAGGACCCTGCCATGGCCGTGGGCCTCTTCGTGAACTTCGGCCCTGTGGGCCTCCTGGCGGACCTGAAGGCCTTCGGCAACCACGCGGCCTTGCGGACCCTGCAGGGGATTCAGGAGGGCACCAGGGACGAGCATCGGAACCAGCAAGATGCCAAGAGACAGCCCTCAGACAAGAAGAAGGCCAAGGCGGATTGGCGCCAACATCATCTCCAAGTCCACGTGCCGGGTTTCGCGCAGCTCCTGGCCTTTGTTGCCGTGGCCTTGCTGGAGAAGGACTGGGAGTTTTCCCTGGAATCTTTGGATGCAGAGCAGCTGCTCGAAGACTCCATGGAGAAGCCGCCGTCTTCTACCCATCCCTTCGCCCCCGTTTCGCTGGAACAGCGCTCTGGTGGCTCCGATGGCCTCGAGCTGGAGGACTTGGAGCTGCAGGCGGCCCTGCGCGAGAGCGCGCGGCTCGCGCAGCTCGCGCCGGCGGGCGGCCGGGAGCCCGACAGCGCCCGAAGCAGCGACTCCGACCCCGAGCTGCAGTTGGCCCTGAGCATGTCCCTCCTGGACGAGGCCCCAAAGTCGGAGACTGGCAAGGCGGGCGGCTGCGCTCCTGCAGACGAGGAGCCGCCGCCACGCAGGGGACGCTGGATGCGCCGAAGCAGGCAAACATAGGGGCGGCCTTCCTTGGACTCATTCTTTGTAAGTGAAGCCCCTAACTACCTGGACCGCATACATCCGTACACCTGCATCTCGACTCCCAGCCTGCAAAGACCAGCACGACAACGTGGTGAAGTGCTGAGCCTTCCCATGAGTTCGGCAGACGTGGGCTCGACTGTGCCTGAGTTGGTTTGGGAGGCTTCACCTCCGCCTGCCCCCGTGATGCCCTGAAAGCACCGCTTTTGGTGCAGAGACGTCCTGAACGCAAAGGATGTCCTCTGAGCTCATTCGAGGTTGCAGTGTCCTTTCCCCGAGCATCCCCGAGCCTCCAAACCCCTAAACCCTAAACCCAAACCCCTAAACCCTAAACCCTAAACCCTAAGCCCTAAACTTTGAACCCCAAAAGCCCTAAGCCCTAAGCCCTGAACTCTAAGCCTTGTAGATGACCACCCAAAAAATACAACCCAAGTGCTGCCGAGCTCCTGTGAGCCAGCAGGAGATTCCTCGGTAAGCCCCGGCGATCCCACGACCATGATCGAGGAAGCAAGAGCGGCAAAACATCCTAAGCAAAAAGAATTCTGAGCCCTTAGAGGGTTTAGGGGTTTCGGGGTTTCGGGGTTTAGGGGTTTAGGTGTTTGGGGGTTTGGGGGTTTAGGGTTGAGGGTCCTTAGACCACAAGCAGAACCCTGAGGAACCGAAACCTTGAGCATTTCCACACGCCCACAGTTGAGGGCGCTTCCTGCGGGTCTAGCAGGGTTTGTAGGTTTGCTGGCGCTGCATCGCGGTCCACAGCCCCTGCAATGGGGTTTGTTCCAATTTGTTCTCCATTCTACTGTCCTTCTACCTCAAGATGTCTCTTAAATCCAAAAAAAGAAACTTAGAGAAACCCCTTCTTCGGAACCCTTTAGCGAACGCCTATAGCAGTATAGCAACCCGTACAGGAACCCCTGAACAAGGGTCGCATCATCTGGCACATCTTAAGGGTTGTTAGGGTTTGGGTCTAGGGTTCGATGAAAACTGGACCTTTGAACCATCTTCACACCCTAAATGCGAACCCTTTGGAATTGCAGCTTGAACTCATGATCAGCAAGCATAGAAAGGAGTAGCCGTAGTACTAGCTGTAGTGGAAGGACTAGTACTAATGAAGGAGCTATATCACACGAGCAATAGCGATGCACATGACAATAATAACACATGCTACCACTCATACCACTAGTTCAACAACACTAGTACTGCTACTGCGGCTGCTACTGCTACGACCCGACAGCTACGAGGAGCGACGACGACGATGACGACGACTGCTACTCCCATGACTACGGTTACAGCTGCTGCTGCTGCTGCT